TTACCGATTGCAGTTTTATTACCTGATTGATTATTCTGATGAGCCTTTGCACGACAGGTCGAGATAGGTGTAGCGGTAATCTGAGTGATGGTGTATACTGCAGGTGGCTACTAAATTGTTTTATTACAAATACTGTTACTCCAGAGAACACTCCCATCACTCATTACAATTATATTAATATACTTCATATTATGATATTGGATATAGTTAAACCGATATTTCTGCTGTTAGTTGGTTTTCGAAATATTATATTAGTTGTGAACTACACAAGTGCTGCATTACATTTTTTGAAAATCAAATACATAGCCACTTTAAATCAAATTAATGTACACCTTACATGCGTCATTTCAAAGAGCAGTTTTAAGAATAATTAAGTAGGATAATTTATTAAACTGTGTGCCCACTCTTTACATGTCCCCTAAAATATCCCCTAAAGCTACGAACCCTGACCATCTTTGTACATATCATATCCATCTTGCGTATTTTCTCAGATTCTCAAAGGTTTTCAACCCTGTTTCATGATGTTAGAGAAGTGCATGTCGGTAAAGTTACGACGTCAGAAATGCCACTTGATCTAATTGTTCACCATGCTCCAATCGTCCTATACTTTACAGGCACATAAAAAAACCCCAATATTTCACTATGTTTGGAGTAAAGCACCATTGTATGTATATAGGTGTACAAATCAATATTTTATTTTCAGATAGCAATTCGTCATAGTTTCAAGGAAACAAAATGTTTTCAAAGTCCTTTCAACACACAGATACGTAAAGTACCTAAGTGGACAAAAGTGAAATACAAATTCAGACTGAACCACTTGTGGCTTCAGAAAGTAGTACAAATTAATGAATAACAACTTCGTTATTAGACCGTAATAGCAACGTATTGGCCTGAATTCTTATAGCACTGTCATAAAACTGGAGTCTTGCTTGAAACAGTGTAGGGATCTATAACAATACCTCGATATTAGAGCATAAAAAGCAGTTTTTTAAAAAAGCAGTCTTTTAATAATTATGCGTATTTTGTCACCTGTTAACTTACTCCTATAAAATGCATGTAAGGAAAAGTCGCTTCTACCATATACTCGTGTTCAATCTTTATAAGTGAGATTATTTTGTTACTGCATTATTTAGAACTAGCAATTCATTAACGGCTTGTCAGAATTCTCTATTAAAATCACTTTACTTTACAATATTTTTTTTGTTGTATTACATATAATCAATCATTACACATACTGTTTTACTTAAAAAAGACCCCAATATATATCGTTCCATAAAACAAAAAAATAACTCATATCGTCGTCAAAGTCTTTCATTGTTAACTCACATTACTTTGTTAAAAGAACATGCACCCATTTCGATAAAATAGCCAAACCCTAATAACGGAAGTATCAATTTAACTTACTTTTCCCTTAGATTTTCTCAACCATATTTATAGTTCTGATGAGTGGTGGGAGTGTTTTCTGAAGTAACAGTATTTGTAATAAAACAATTTAACAACCACCTGAAATGTTGACCATCTCAAACATACCGGTACTCCTATCTCGACCTGTCGTGCAAAGGCTCATCAGAATAATCAATCAGGTAATAAAACGGTAATCGGTAAACAACACACGAACAATGATTCTGTTACTACAATTAACACCTGAGAGTTAATCAGCTCATCAGGTAAAGCTATGTGTGTTCTACCTGTTATTGTTTTATTACATAGCTGTACATTATAACACCGGATGTATCGCAAAGGGTGTCCGCCATCTTGAAATACGAATAGCTGGAATCGGATCGCCATTGAGTGGATTAGGTCATTTTTTGCGGGGTCACTGATGCCTGAATCACAATGTTTTTATAGCAGTTTATTTAGTACCGTTATGCGGAATGTTTTATATTGTACATTTCTCTTGAGAGCATACATAACATACATGTCACCACTAATTACTCTTGATCTCTAAATAGGCACACACACATATATATTTACTCATTTTATAAAGAATATCAACTAAAATTTGAATATATATTTTTCTATCTTATCAATTATACATATGTAATATATTTATCATGTTTAAAAACGTAGGAGTTTCACATTACTGAAAAAATGCAAATGTGACTTTAATCGAGATTATATTAAAAAAGAGAAGTTTTACATAAATTAATAAAACAAATATTTAGGATATAGAAGTTGAAATCAACTCTGCCTTCATTCATACAACGTTTTCTGAAATGCCGCTTAAAGGTGAAGCATATATTTGATACTTTAAAGTGAAGAAAATAATTTCGAGAAAATGTTATGTATAGTTTCACATAGGAAACATACGGAGTGGGGTGGTTGCAATTTTCTGAGGTTAAGTGATGCAAGTTTGAGAGAAAATGAAGCTCGCATAGCGCCAGTTGTATGAGTTGTACTGAACCTACTGGTATAACCAATATAGGTTTATACTAAAGTGTACCGTACGAACTCTTTAGTACTTGTTCGGGTACAGTTTTTTGGTGCAAACATACGTCTCATCGCTCTTTTACAGCATGATCCCAACAGAAGTATATTTTCACTGTAATCAAACTGAAGTTTTGGGAGAATACTTCCAAACAACGCCGAGAGTTAGTTAAAGTTCTCTTTGATTTTGTATTTCAAAATATTCTCTTTAATCAAACACCGTTTCTCCGAGTTTCACGGCTTTTACACAAACACGTTGAAAACAAGTTCAAAAGTTTCGGGAAACTTTGAAACCCGTAACGGTATTTACACCAGTCAATAGCACCTGCCCGTTAATAGCATCAAAGATTCTATTGGTAATTAGCACACGATGCTGTGGGACAGGCAGGAGCAATGTGGCTGTTCACTGGGCTAGCAGCGTCGGAAAAGCGAAACTGTTGGGATTGAAATGCCCGATGAGGAGACAGTGATACCGATACGAGCCCTGGATATGAATATATAACACATACGGCGAACTGTGTGTAGATGTACATGATGATATATTACACAACTGCTGGATGCTTGCACAGATATGGCTTCACACACGCAGAGTTCCAGGCCCCGAAGCACCAGATGATTCGGGCCTGTTGAATATACACCTCATGCTTTTATTTTTTTCATATTTTTTTGTTGTTATAAATATTATGATTGCACTTCATGGTCTGGTTCCACAGTTGAACCAGAATAATACCTGTTCGGCTTATCTGCGAGTAAAGATCTCTAATAATCAGTGTAAACTGTGATGTCTGAAGATAGTATTCGATAGCGTCGACATTATGGTAATGTCAGTACATTTGTAATGAAAAGATTAAAAAAATTTATGATGATACAGCAAATATCCCTCCTTCTGGCATGTTCATATCACAGAGCACAGACAGCAGAACATTTTTCATTCCAAGTTATTATCACATACAATCACCCAGAACTAGATATAATCAATTTAAAGAACCGTATAGTGCTCTTTGCAACGTAAATACTTGAAAGAAATCCGTATAATTTGCTCTCTTTCCCAGACCTTTGATACAATAAACATTTGATCCGATCCCAATACTGCAATAACAACAAAACATGTCCATACAATCCTCAATCCAAGACCAAAGAAGTTATTTATCTTCTTCAGTTGTTCCGCTAATTATGTGTCGTTTTGAAAAAAATGATTAGTATTTGGTATTGCCAGCGACATTTTGGCAACATGTTTAAATACGAACATGTAAATATTTTGATTTTGAAGACATGCGAAAACTCTTCTTGATAAAGTTAAACACACAAGTTTGCCTCTCACTAAATGTCACAAATACAAAACGATAAAGCAATAATACACTCCAGATCTTTCTAGTCCAATGGTGAAGTTGTGATGATTTGTTGCACTAATGACACACATGAAAAGTATTTTGTATGTTTTAAAATTTAAAGCATCAATGTATAGGGTTTCTTTTGTCTGATCATTTTATTTGAACACCATGTAATAAACGGACAAAATATACCAAAAATAGAATTTGCTTGATGAAAAACCATGAACTGATTTCTCCCTGTATATGCTATAGACATACTGTATATGTTATAGATATTATACTGTGGCATGCATAGGGTTTGTAAAGGAGACACGTCCTCCAATCGTGTGTTATTGACTTGTTCTCCTTCTACACATTCATCGAGAATCTATTTGTAGATAAATGTATACATTATGTGATTTATGTAGACACGATGGAGCAATGAGGGGCGAAATATCACAAATTAATTTACATAATAAATAATAAACAGATCTTGATGCTGATTAACAAACAGCTGATGGTTACACCATTTAATGATTTTAAGCACTGATATCTCAAACATTCTACTGCCTACATTTCGCCTCAAATTTAACATGGCTTGATTTCGTTACTCAAGGAAAATAGCATTTGTGTAGGGAGACTCTTGTACCTAATTCTGACGTTCTTAACTCTGATATATTTATTTGATGTTTATTAAGATATGCATAAACCGGTGTGTTGTTTTGAACTAAAGCTAGATGTTTTGCCGCTATGAGAATATCAATCATTATTATTCCGAATCTGTGACAACAATCTGGAAACAAAATTCTTCCAGGGATGGGAATATGCCAACGTTTTCAAAACAGACATATCTGGAGAGCAAAACACTTGCCCCCTTCCTTCGTGAATTTTCATTTTATTGGTCGAGAATCATGAAATTCTCTGCGGGAGATTGGTAAAACCCTGGACCCATACCCAGATCTATAGACCCTGACAAGTGTCAAAAAGTAAATCTGTGTTGGAATGACATATATCAGGTTATCTCATGTTTCTTTCTTCGTTTGTATCTCGTCTTTCCATCTAGTTCCCCCAAACCTTACCCTGCCCCCCTTCCCCTCCCCCACTGCGGTACCGTAATCTGATCCGGCTCAGGATCTTAGATGGGTGATTGACACCTCTCACAGAACGGACTGGATTTACATGGCCCTACGAGCGAGCTGATTGGTTGACGGGAGCTATATACACGTTGGTTGGAACTGTGTGATTATATTCTGTCTTGTGCTATCATTCCTTCACTGCTTGAGAGGCTGTCGTTGTTGTACGCTTACGCTCACGTGGAGAAGGCTTATAGGTCAAATTCATCTTCTTTGCTGAAGAGTTCCACGAGTTTTTCTACCTCCACATAGAAGAGTCAAGTTTTTTAGGAGGCTGTCAAAATGGTTCCCGAGCAACAGACCGTTTTGCGACAGGATGGACTTAGTATGGAGTCTCAGACTCTTCACAAGGAGTTTAAGGAGTTTCCGGAGAAGGATTATTCTTTGAAAATTGAAACAGAGGATGACAGCGATGACATGGATGACAAGCGTCTCGGGAGAAAACGTATGTATGAATATGACAATGATTCCCTTCCTAACGCTAAGAAAGCTCGTTCCAAGAAGAGTCCCCAGACTCCTGAAGATTTGCAGACTCAGCGGTCTCTTGCCAATGTCCGAGAAAGGCAAAGGACACAGTCACTGAACGAAGCATTCTCGTCCCTCCGAAAAATTATCCCCACTCTACCGTCCGACAAATTGAGTAAGATCCAAACATTAAAACTTGCATCCAGATATATTGACTTTTTGTACCAAGTTTTGAGAAGTGAAGATGTCGATTCAAAGTTAGCAAGTAGCTGCTCATATGTTGCCCATGAAAGACTTAGCTATGCATTTTCTGTATGGCGAATGGAGGGGGCGTGGTCGGTTAACGGACATTGAAGCCGGACGCTGGAGTGACCATTAATCTCCGATCTCTACGAGGGAGAAATATAAGATCTCTACAAGATTTACCGGGGCATCTATTCCAAGGACAGGACGTTTCGATAATGACAATTCTTGAAACGGCCATGGAGATGACTGGAACTAAGAACAGACATTTGGAGATCTAAACCTCGAATACCGATCTCAAATTCATTCCAAGCCCTGCTGCGTGGAGCGAGTGTTTTGGAACTCGATACTCTGCTAATCTACTGCGACAGAGGACCTCGATGACAGAACACGCTATTGGTAAGATGCGAGGCACGAGGGCTCTGCTCTGGACTGGTCTGAAGGACATTTGTTTACACGTGACTATCACATAGTGACGTAACAGGTGATATTCCAGTTACGTGAGCATAATGAGATTTTGTTGACCTTTCTGTAACATCCCCAGAATGAAGGATGTTTTCAAAAGCGTTGTGTGAATGTGAATGATTGAAACTGACATGAAATGAACGCTGAAATCGCAAGATTTTGGAAGTGACAATTGTGCTGAAGTGGTGTTATGTGACAGTTCGTGAAACCGACTTTATGAAAGTGTTATGACACGATTCACATGAAATGTACGTAAATATGTACATGCAAATATGCTATACAGAGCGACTTGGAAATATTTGTGAATTTCCTCGTGACGATCAGCTGCCTCCCGAGAGTGTGTTAGATTCAGGACGGCGCTATCCAGAATGCGAGTTGTTGATAATATTAATTCTGATTTTAGTTGACAATCCTATTGTTTGTGCATTCCAAGTTATTGAGACTTTTGATAAACATGTGTGCAGTTATTTGGTGTTTTGTCTTATTTTAGTAAAGCTGTGTTAGCACAAAGGAACTTGTAAAGGGCGAGTTATATTTATTGCTTGTGTGGATCCCATTGGGTCAAAGTTCCTGTTATAAGAGACGTTTTATACACGCTGCGCGTACCGCCGGGTAGATAACTAGGCTGAGAAATTGTGTAATTAGTACCTAAAAGAATCGGATCAGTTTAAGATGTCTTTTAAAATACGAGGACCATTTTCCTTCATCCTAAATCGTTGACACTCTTGCAATGTGTCTGCTGCAGAATAATCCAACATCTGCATAGGTACGTTCTATAAATATTACATTTTATAACTATGAGAAATTTCAAAGAGCATAAAATATGTTAATTATTTTAACAGAAGAGCTCAATCAAAATAATGTCACTGTTCACTGACAAACCAGTGTTCCTGTAGGTCAACACAAGTGTTGTGGTGGAAACACTGTGGTCCATATATTTGTTATTGCCTCGTTGACAGCTGGATTGTTTCTGTAGAACTTACCACTGTACATCACACGGCATCTGTGAATGGTGTTAGTACTATACAGTCACACACGTAGTACTTGTGATGGTTATGCTACTATATCATGACACTGCGGTATGTATGCTTTACTCTTATCCCGAATTACCGCACATATATTTTTATTGGTCCTAATCATGTACCCCTATACACATATTATCTGTGATTGGTTCTAATCCCGTATCCCTACACACATATCATCTGTGATTGGGACTTGTTATCACACATATATGATATGTGATCGCTTCCAATCCTGTATCACTATACATATTATAATTCTGACAGGTTCTTATCCTTATCACAACAAATATAGTATCTATAATTGGTTCATGTCCTATTCACCATAAAAAAGTGTTTTATATGGAAAAACATACACTCATATGTGAGAGCTACAAAACCGTTTTAATCGTCACAAGAAATGCCTGATAACAGAATCTGTGATGAACACCTGGTGTTCTTTACGTTTCAGTACAAATAATGTGAGTTGCGTGTACCACGCTAGAGCTGGACCTAGTTATTCTCTCCGTGAACACCTGGTGTCTTTACAGATTTCCTTTCCTACTATTTTCATCACTTTTTTACCTTTGAATCGGAACTGAATGATTGGTTTATGCAGATAACTGAGAATGAAACTTCTTATCGTTTTATATTTAATAGTGATGGTTAAGAATGGATAAGGTTTTTCAAATGTAGAGGAATGAAAATTATAATGTTTTGACATATCAGATATATAAGGAATGTCTTTTCAAGAGGATTGCTACTCCAAGGTTGTTAATGATGTTCTGGCGGACGGGTAGCGCGTGGTCACGTGTTTCATGTTTAAGACAAACATTTTAATGTAGGACAAGAAGATGGGCCGTATCATCTAACATATGTTGTACTGTATTTCGTATGAAAGGGTTAGGGAAATTATGTTAAAACAATATTCTGTATGTGGAAAATAATGTTGGATAAAATATTGTGATATTGTAAGTCAATGTTTGTAGAAGCATGCAGGGAGAGGGTTCCAAGTACTAGAAGTACCGAGAAAGATGAAGAGACCATTATATATAGAAGGGAGTTATGCAAGACAAAGAGGTTGTACGCTAGTCTTGGTGCTAATGTATTGTTGTATAACGTCGCGTTGATGAGAGCTGTCAGTCGTGACGAGGGGGAGAGGAAAAGGGGATGCAAGATATCTGATCCGAACGCACGCTGATAAAGAAATTAAGCGACTATGACACAGAAACAGTGAACATTACTTGAACAATGTTAGCGCATATAGTTATTAGGTTTTCATAAGTCGCTGGCGTCACGGATCATGGAGAGTAAATGTTTGTACAGCTTTAGACATAGGACTTGCCTATTTATGAGAAAAGAAAAACGAGGTCGTTAAGAAATAATCTTGGTTTTGTCACGTTGGTGGTAATTTTAAATTCATATTGAGGGACATTTTGTTAAAAATTAGCCAGATTGATATGGGTTTTACAGAGAACATGGCCATTGTGATTCGCAAAGCGTACTATTCGTCCCAATGCAAAGGTGAATATGATAGTTTCCTTCTCCATGCATTATACAACAATACAGGGGATGCTGTTATCACAGTGGGGGCTCGGAAATAAACTCTGTATTTCAAATATATCTTTACTTTTGACTAAAAAATATAGGAATTAATAAACCAAAAAATGAAACTGCTAGCTATGTTTCATCATGTAGAAGGAATTACTCTGTCGTAAATAACATGAATTGTTTCTAGATTTAGCCGTCAGTGCATTCGGGCTTTTCAACAAAGGAGAAACAACACACTCGAAAAGCAACAAATTAAAAAATGTAGTATTTCCCATGATACTATTTATACAAATACTACATGTGAAAATTATGGGGAAAGGATGGTGATAATTAATGATATTAATGAAAACGCATAAATTTTAATTATTCAAAAACACAACATAATAACACTACAAATATTTTAATGGAAAATGGAATTATTACACCAATATCGCAATTCAACTTTGAATTAATTAATTACAAACTGGAGATAATAATGCATCATGATATGCCATCTGGCATTGGTAAAAAATACATGGATAATATCAATGGCGATAATTGTTTGGTTTTATCATTAACCCACCTGGGGTAATAATTACTGAGGTCACGTGACACCATGATATTAGTTTTATTCAGGGTTGAAGTCACCTAATTAGGATATGTACTAAGTTACCCACTCCATGAAGTTAACGCAGGCGTGACGCTGCTGACGCCGGGGTTTCATTACGGGTCATAAATTATTACAAAATATGAGAAGATATTACCCAGGAATGATTGATATAGCACAGGTGATAAGTTTTATGTCCAATGTGCGCGCTCTTCATTTAGCAATGTTGCCGTTTTATTTTCCTTGAAATGACTGCAATTTTATTCTACGAGGTTCTGTGGTGTCGAAGGGCACGAATTTTGGTGCATCGACTGGATTTATTTTGGTACCCATCATGATGTTTATCACGAAGTGACTGAACTGTCCTCTGAGACGTGGAGTTATTCCCCTTTGCTGATGCACTGGTAAATGGTTGACTGTTCCTGATGTGGTAATTCAAATTGCACAGTTTGTTACGTGAAAGCAAAGATCATGAAACGCCAGTGATTCACTGGTGACACATGTAACTCTGGACATGTTTACAACGCTTATTGGTTCGGCTTATCAGAAATCACATAACGCTATATGGTCTCTGGGCTTATGTTGGCTTGAGCCCAACTTATGCAGAAACCATTCTACTGTCGCTCAGAAACGACAACGTTCGTTAGGTAATCCTTGGTTTATTCCGGTGTTAATGATTCTGAATCAACGAATGTGGTTTTACGGCGTTAATATTGCAGCTATATCACTGCCGCCGACAACAGAAAAGGGCTTGTACCCATTTGGGAAATTGAGCGAGTGAGTGAGTGAGTTAATTTTACGCCGCTTTTAGCAATATTCCAGCAATATCACGGCGGGGGACACCAGAAATGGACTTAACACATTGTGCCCATGTGGGGAATCGAACCCGGGTTTTCGGCGTGACGAGCGAACGCCTTAACCACTAGGCTACCCCACCGCCCCTTTGGGAAATTGAATCCACGAAGAACGAACGCTTTATCTACTGGGCTACCGAAACCGTCCTGTATCTGAAGGACGTCTTGGAGGAAGGAAAGAATATAGTTGTGTGCCCAAGTGCTCCAGTTGGACACGAGAGGCCATGCAATCAAAACCATCGCGAATCCAACACGAGGGAGACATGGTTCGACAGCACCAGGGGTGGTGAGGTAGCCTAGTGGGTAAAGCGTTCGCTTGTCACGCCGAAGACCTGGGTTCGATTACCCACATGGGTTTAATGTGTGAAGCCCATTTCTGGTGTCACCCTTCGTGATATTGCTGGAATATTGATAAAAGCAGCGTAAAACTAAACTCACTCACTCACTCGTCAGCACCATACCATGCTTGTGGGGTGCAATACTGGAAGGACTTAGACGTTCTAGCCTCAGCCCGTCATGCGGTGATATCTCTGATATATTGTCCAGCATGACGTTATACTGATTCACTTTGTCCAGCTGTTATATCGTGGAGAGATGGAGCCTGTATGAAATCTGATTCTGTCTTTGGTAGTTGGGGCATATGCGTATGTTGGTTTACCTGTCGGCTCCGATAATATCGCTACAGTGCAAGACGCAACCTCTGAGAGATGGACAATTTTACATCAGTTACACGAGATACGCGAGCTCACATCGGTTTGATCTATGAGATGTGCAAGCTTACATCAGTTTGATCAATGAGATAGTGAGATGTGCAAGCTTAAATAGGTTTGAACTGTGGCACAATGAGATGAGCAAGATTACGCTAGTTTGGTCTGACAGATACTGACAAGCATATACAATATTCAATAACAAGCAATAAACACTGATTATGTTCTCATAGGATACGTTCTCACGTCTTGTAAACACCCGGTGTCCATCAACGGACGTATACAGTGGATGCAGATCTCTAAGAATTTGTCACTCCCGTTTTATAATAATCTGTCTATGGAACCCTGGAAGGGACACAGGCAGACCAAAGAAGTCGGACGAAGCAACTAATTGTAGACTAAGGCTTAGTCTCTGAATATATATAATTTTGATAGTAACAAACAAGCCCATTTATATTGAAAAGGAGCCCCAGGCAGACCAGAGATTCTGAACCTGAGGAAATCTAGACTTGCTTTATTTAGGGCTTTAGCACTGCAGAGAGGGCTTGGCAGTAGGGAAAATAATGTGGTTCAGGGACTGTGGGACAGACTACAACTAATTGCTGCGTTTTCAGCTGCACCGTTGTTTACCTAAAAGGGACAATGCGAAATGGCATCGTTTCAGTCTTTTCGTTCTTCGTTTCTTTTCATGTTAATTCGGGTATGAATGCCTGACGCTTATGTAATTTGTTATCAATATGCAACAAAGTAAATCTCATACTGGGAACTTTG